ATTTTATCTCAAACATTTAAATAGCATCAATTTTTTTTTTGTGTGTGTAAATGCGCAGTTAGTGAGTAGAAGCAATCTCACTTTTTTCTTGTAAATGCGCAGTTAGTGATTATCATCACTTTGTTTAATTGCCACATCACAAATAAAAACTTATACAGTTATTTTCTTATGTAAACCGGCCGGGTAAAATGTTGTTTTTCATATCATTCAAAATCAGTTGATATAAGTTTTGCTATATTTATATATAAAAGGATGATGGATTTTATAGAAATTTAACGACTTCGAAAACTTGTTTCGGACTTTTCCATCAACCTTCGTTAAGTTAAAATTATTTCTTCTTGTTGTTGTAATTGAGTTCATTAACTTAGAAACATATACTAATATGTCAAAAATAAAACTTGGACACATGCTAATTTTGGGAATTATGAACGATGTTGTAGATTGACCAAGTAAATTGAAATAGCTTTGCTTACATGACCAACACCATTATCATTATTTCATGAACAGTACTATCCCATCAAACTCAAGAATTAGTTGTTTAAAAAAGAAAATCAGATCTACCATTGAATCTTATTTTAAATCGACTAGGACATGATATCCCTAATAATAAATCACTCTCGAATTAAAATCTGCATATTTTGCATGTCCGATTATTGTATATAAAGACTTCTTAATTAGCTATAGAAGCTTTTTGTGTTAATTAGTCATAGTTATTAGCTTCATAATTTTATTATGAAGCGAAATGATTATATGCACCACTAAATTTTCGAAGTAGTTACAGAGTCTGATTTTCAGGGAACGGACTTGGATTATAATTACGACAGAAGCATTTGCAAATAGTTATTAGATTAATACTAAGAAAAATTAACTAGGGAGTAAGAAGAGAGAGAGAGGTTAAGACCGGTCATACTCTTTGCGATGGTGTGAGCTGGAAATTGTCGTGCCTAAAAGTGGGATCGTAAAAGGAATAAAGAGTTTTAACATGGGATTAGGAAGATAACTCTAGCTAATGATATTTAACTCTTTAAATATTCGTCTACAAGTCCCGAGGAATATTGTTCGATATGGTAGATAATCGAATCGCCCAGTAGAATATATATTGATCTACAAATTAAGTCGTTTCGATTTTTCTTATTCAATTATATTAGTTCTTTTGGTTCTCCATTTAGGTTATTATTAATTTCATAGTTTAGTTTTCTTGAAGACTTGCTTCCTGTAGTAGTAATGTTAAAGAACCAACACGGCCCCTAGTGAACATATTTGCATTTCTTGTTAGTCCCACTTTCTCTCAACTTACTGCCTCGTTGATATATAGAGATCTTTTTCTTTGTTTTTTAGAATATAATATAGAGATCTTTTTCTTATAGTTTATGATAGATTGTTAATATATATAAATTAAGAACAATAGAGAAATTCGACTGTTCGAGATTAAAAGAAGTACAAAAGCCACATATGGATATTGCTTGAAACTAATAAATATACAAATTCGTTTGCGACAGCCAATGCGAAGAAGATAGATACTGTAGTTAAAAAACCATAAAAAAAGATGTCAGTACTCATAAATACATCGAATAATAGCAAGGGAAAATGATTGCATAGTGTTACTAAAAATAAATAAATATGGTTGAATAGTAACAGAGGATGATTGTACGGACAATGTAAGCAATTTATCTTTACTGGTAATCTATGAAATGACAAAGTTACTGCCACGGTATATGTACACATAAAAATTTTGATTCATGACAAATTGGTAAACAAATTTTGGTAGAAAGAAAGAATGATAAGTATTACTCCT